TAGTGCAAAGTAAGAAACTACTTGAAGCCTTGTATTGCAGCTCATTCTCTTACTCAAGAAATCTGCAGCTATTAGGTCTACTAAAGCCATGTACACTAGAATTCCAGCAGATATCGAGTTAAGGATTCCTTCCACAACCAAAGCTCTTGGGCTATGAGGATCGTAAGATGAAGCAGCTCCGATCCCTATAGCAATTCCCAACGGGGTTGTTATGGCGAAAAACGTTGCCATTACAGTGGAACGCATGGAACTGAACTGCGCCTGTGAGATGCAACCTCCTAATGCAAAACCTTCGAAGAACTGGTGGAATGACAATGCTACGAGCAAGGGTCTTATTGTACATGGACTTTCTGAGACACCCAATGATACGCCTATTATGATAGAATGTGATACTATCCCAAGCTCCAAGACCTGCAAGGGAAAGAATTTGTTTGAATGAACTTATACACAATCAAACTGATAGACATACAAACATTATGCATCTTAACAAAGACAGGGCAAATCAAACTTTTGCTCATTTGCCGATTAAACAAAAGTAACAACCTGTTATAAAATACATAAGGAAGCAAGCAGCCCAAGACATCAGCTATTATGAGAAATACACAAAGATAAATCTGTGAATACGTAAAGAATTCTGTGAACAACTCGATGCACCACACCAAAAAATATGTAATCAAGGCCACCTGATTGACCAAGGGAGGCATTTAACAAAGTTTAGGTACTATTCCTTATGAAGTTAGATTTCACATGACAATATATGCAGTATCTCAGAGGTTGGGCGAAAATCTTAAGCACCAAACAGTTAGAAATTAACTAGCAGAATACAAATTGTCTATGCCTTTATCAAAGCTCACGGAAACAGAAGCTTATAGAAAGCTGCAATCAATCAACTACATATGTCTTCATCTCAAATTAAGTTGGAGTTGTCTATTGAATTCTCTTTGTCAATTCCACCAAAAACTTCAAGTTGTTGTAAATTTGTTAAACCATTCAAAATACAAATCATTCAAGAAAATTTACATCAAGTTTCTTTCGTGGCATGAATGATATACAATAAAGTCCAGACATTCTCGTCATAAATGCTGGCATTTAGGAAATGGAATTGATTTCTTTAAAAAGCCTACAAAACTGATGAGATAATCGAAAACCTTCTGGACAGCATTCACCAAATTCCAGCCACAACAAACTTAAGCCAAGAAGTACAGCGAAACGCGTCCAATGACGTGTGAAATAGTTTAAGTAAAATTACCTGAGAAACAACAACATGTCTCACTCCACCTTCCTCATCCCCACCACCGAAGCTATGGGAGTGCGAATGACCATGGGAATGCTCCCTCATGTCCCCATGTTCATGTGAATGGCTATGTCTGTGATGAGCAGCATGCGCATGCATCCCCACAATGTGTATTGCACCACCTTCTTCTTCACCAAACAATTTCTCATTCCTTGGCTTTGGCTCAACTGGTACAATAGCTGATTCCGACACCAAGTCGGCTGAATCAGTCTGATCTTTTTGGTTTTGTTTCTCTTGTTTCTTTTCATAATACTGAGTCCCAACAAAGTCAACCACCAAGGTAGCCAATGCAGCCATCATAGCGATAAAACCAGCAAAAGGGAATTTCGACCAAGGAGATTTCGGAAGACAAGGATTAGTTAATGATGAAGTGGCACCTGGTAACATGTGTACAAAACCTGTGGCGAGGATGACACCAGCAGCTAAGGCTTTAGCAGTAAAAAATAGATTAGAGTCAGTTCGAAGGAATCGGTGCTTCTTGCCAACTAATGGGATGCCAACTCCACAAACACCAGCTATTAGGATGGCAGAGATAGCCACTATTTTAAGGGTGAGAGCAGCAGAGTTATCTCGGCATCCTTCCATCTCATCAACAGCACTGCCACAGGCAGTATTGGAAATAGATTCAGAAAGTTTCAGCATAATTGTATCTGTTTTGACAAAAAGAATAGTAAGAATGTTGAAATCATTTCAATTTCTACATAATTAAAGTATTGAACCAATGAAGAACTATCTTCTTTCCAATTCCTACATAATTAAGAGTATCTGTACATTTCAAAAATATTTTGATATGAAACATAAAATTCATTAGAATATTGAAGGTAACAGAATCTGTATCCGATATAATACGCGAAAATTAAAAACAAGTGAAAAGAGCTGGTTGCGTAGAATTGGCAAGAACACCTCCATTTTTTGACAAAGTACAACCAACACAGCCTTTTTTCTTTCTTTCCCTTTCCCAGCTTTACTACATGAGTAAGATTCAACAGCCAAAACAGACGAAATGAAGACAAGAATCATATACAACCAAAAAAAAAAAAAACAGACCTTTAATACCAATTCAAATTTAGAAGTCAATACCCCCAACATTTCATAAAAGCAAGAACAGTACAAAATTGATTTGTTGGTCAGAATCCTCCAAAAACAGTGCATTTTTGGAGGGATGCGACACGGGTGCAGCAACATTTTTGAAGTGTCCGGATAACATAGCAGAATTGAACTGTCCTGAACTTCAAAAATAACATCTACTTAAAGCAAAGAATGTCCAGTTTCATCATAAGACTCAAAAATTGAACTACTAATAAACAGATAAACTAAATTTAACATCAAAACAGTAATGAACTTCCAAACTGAATACAAATAACTAATGAGTAGCCAATTAGAACCTCAAACAAATGAGAATTACTCAAGACATAAAGGAGAAAGAAAATTAATCTTGGGAATTGCAATACAAATCTCCATCAGTTACAAACCAAAGGAAGCAAAACCAAGAATTAATGATTGAATTAATTTTCCCTTTCCACAATCCCCATAACAATTAGTTTACCTGATAAAGACCCAGTCTTTTGTCTAATATGGTCCATAAAAAAGGAAGACATGAGATCCTGAAAATAAGAAAAGTATAAGAATAAAACTCACAGCTTTCAAGAATATATAAAAAGAAGTGGGGTTGTGGGGGCACTGTAAAGAACGAACCTCAATGAATGACATGGGGTTGAGGGAATGAAATTCTTTCTCCCCCTTTTCAATTAATAAGTTTACAAGAACAGAAATCTTTGTATGTATGTATATATATATAACAGATGGAAGAAGGGTTTTTGTCAAAATATTAATCTAACACGAATATTGTAATGATTCTTGAAAACCCCTTTTATTATAATTGAAAGAAAGGGAAAGGGGAAATAGTAGATTAGGAGAAATGGAAGAAACAGAGATAGAGATTTGGATGTCGACATTATTTGTAAAGAAGAAGAGAGAGATTTGAGAACAGTCGCTTCTAAAACAAGAGAATGAGCATCACTCTGTCGACATCTCTGCCTGATGCTATTGTCAATTCATCAAAAACATTTTATTATATATATATATATATATATATATATATATATATATATATATATATTTTATTTTATTTTATTTTCTTTTTTACATTTCAACAATACACCCCCCCCTTTTTTTTTTTTTTTAATTAAAACTCATAAATCTTATTTTCTCTTATTTCAAGTATTTGCGTTCCAATTGGTATTTCAGGCATGTTAATATGTTTATAATATTAATTTTCTAGCTAGTTGACTTTTTACGTTCGTGACTTGATACAGACTAGGTTGACTAATTCTGATTTCGATGAAGTGAGGTGGATTTTGAAAAGCGATGAATTTTAGATGGGATACTTCGGCTTAATGTTCACCTTAGTGATTGAGGTTTTAATGATTAAAATGGCTTGATACTTGATTATGATCATAGCTCGCGATATTCGTACATACTGATATTACAAGTATGTATACGGACCTTTGGGAACTATTTTAATGGAAAGGGATGAAAAAAGATGATGTTGAGCACGTGTCTCATTGCTTGAACTATGAGTTGTTCAAGTGCGAGAATTAGAGACTTGTTGATTATGTATTTCAAATTAACTTCTTAACCTTAAGATTCAAGGTATTAATTTATTATCATATATTGTTAAATATACTCAAACTTGATTAGATTTTTCTTCTAATAATAGAAACATGAGTTTCAAAAGGAAAAATTAGGAATTCTATATTCAATTAATATATTGATAAATGGGGATTACAAAAAATAATGGGACTCTAATTAAGAATCTAATTACATATTTGGAGTAGTGAGAGAATGAGTAATCAAATTCTATAATTGATTTTAGGATTTGATCGAAGTGACTTTGAATTTGTTAAGAAATATGAAATAACTCCAACGTAGTCAGCCACACTTATCGATAATGTGTGTAGATTAAGGCAATTAGAGGTTGTTTGAGAGGATATTGGAGGTTACTTGATTGATATACAAATGTTGATTTTGATATCATATTGCTCGGACCCACGAAGGTATATTACTTAATTTGATAATTATATTTGCAAGGGTCTATCCTTTGGCCTGAACATACATGAAGGGTATAAGGAATGTTATTCTACACGATCAAATTGTTCTTAATTATCTTAATTGTTTGTCTAAGTGAAATCCATGACGTGTTTCAATAAAGTATTAATAAGAATAACTAAGAACACACTATTTTTACGTGGTACATGTCAAATTGAGGAGAAGTTGTGGAGAATTTCAGTTCTCCATTGATGAAGCTTCGAAAAGAAGAAGAAGAAGAAGAGGAGGAGGAAGAAGAAGAATAAGAAGAAGAAGAAGGAGGAGGAGGAGGAGGGCAGATCCCTGAGATCGATCAGGAATAATTGGGGAAAATGAAAATTGTATTATCTCAACTGCAACTTTACAATTTATACAAGTGTGTTGTTCTCTAATCACAAGAAATTATTGTAAAGTAAAACTAACTAATCATAACAAAAAATAACTAACTTCTAACTAATCTGCCAGTTAAGCCGACTTACTCATTAACTTAGGAGCTAAGTGATAAGTATCTCAACACCCCTCTCAAGTTGGAGGTGAGTAGCTCACAACTAACTTAGGCAGCAGAATGGAATGTTTAGAGCTTGGCAGGGATTTGGTCAAAACATCAACCCACTGTTCATCAGTTGGGATATGGTGGAGCACAATAAGGGCCTTCATGTAACTTTTCTCTAACGAAGTGGCAATCCACATCTATGTGTTTAGTCCTTTCATAGAACACAAGATTCTTTGCGATGTGAACATTTGCTTGACTATCACAGAACACAGAAACATACATGGTGAATGCAACTCAGTTAGTAGTCTTTTCGGCCAGACCAATTCTCCCACCACTTTCTTAACATCTCTGTACTCTGCTTCTGCCGAGGAAAAGGAGATGGTTGCTTGTTTCTTGGATTTCCAACAAATGGGGTTGTCCCCCATCAATACAATATAACCACTCACTAATCTTCTAGAATCAGGGCATGCAGCCCAATCTGAGTCACAATAGGTAGTGATAGTGCAGTCACTGCTATTAGACAAGAAAATCTCCAAACAAGGGTCATCCATGAGGTACCTCAGGACATGGTAAGCAACTTTAAGATGTGGTTCTCTAGGGAATTGAAGGAACTGACCGAGGTGCTGGACACTGAAAGTTATGTCCAATCTAATATTGGTCAAGAAGTTTAACTTTCCCACCATTTTTTTTGTAGAATGTAGGGTCTTTTAGTAGAGCTCCTTCATTGGCTTTGAGCTTAATTGTGGATTCAAGAGGTGACATGGCTGGTTTGTATGATGAGCAGTCAAATTTTGTCAACAAGTCTGCAGTGATGTGAAATCAGGATCCCGATGTCCTTGTAAAGTATCTCTAATCCCAGAAAATAATGAAGTTTTCCCAAGTCCTTTATTTTGAATTGATCATGAAGGAAACTTTTTAAGGAGTTGATTTCATCAACATCAGTTCCAGTCAATATTATATCATCAACATAGACAACAATAAATACTAGAGAAGCATCGACTTTCTATAAAACAAAGAATAGTCACTGTCTGAATGGGAATAGCCTCTTGAGAAGAGCATTTGAGCTAACTTATCATACCAATGTTTACTTTTCTATTTGAGTCCATACATGGGTTTTTTGAGTTTACAACATAACCCTGCGTCTTCTACCAAAAGTCCTTGAAGTGTGTCCATGTAAACTTCTTCACATAAGTCTTCATGGAGGAAAACATTGTTAACATCCAATTGGTACATGTCCCAGTTATTTTTCACAGCTATACTAATCAGTGTCCTGACAGTAGTCATCTTTACTACCATTCTGTATGGAGGAATAGATATAGGGCGAGTATCAGGATGAATATCTATACCGAAGTCTATTTCTCTATCATGAGGGACTCCGGGAAGATCATCTTAAAAGTCTTCTGGAAACTCTTTTACTACTGGAACTGACTGAATATAAGGTATCTCAACACTAAAGTCATTAACTCAGACTAAGTGATAGACACACCCCTTGGAAACTAACTTCCTTGCCATATGGTATGAAATAAAACGACCCTTAGGCACTGCTGAACTACTCTTCCACTCTATAACTGGCTCATTAGGAATCTGGAACTTGACAACTCGAGTTCTACAATCAACTGAGGCATAACAAGCATGAAGTCAGTCCATACCTAGAATGACATCAAAATCTACCATGTCTAACTCAACTAAATCAGCCATGGTGCTCTTGTGATTGATGGAAACGGGATCATTACGATTGACTCTCTCTGCTAGAATAGACTCACCAACAGGTGTAGAAATACTGAAGGATTCATTAAGTTTCTTAGGAAGAACATCAAAATTCATTGCAACATAAGGAGTTACAAATGATAAACTCGATCCTGGATCTAACAAAGCATAAACATCAAAGTCAAAGACTTGGATTATACTAGTGACAACATCTGGCGAATCCTCTTGCTCTTGGCGACTGGTGATAGCATAAAGACGGTTTCTTCCTCCACCTGCCCCTAAAGTAGCTCCTTTAGATGCATCTCTTTCTGGTGGAGCAAATGAAGAAGACTGGGCCCTATTGCCCCCATTACTGTTACCCTGCCTATTTTTTGGACATTCTCTCATAAAATGACCGTTCTGGACACACTTGAAACAACCAGTGGAGCCATCATGACACATCCCTGAGTGATTCCTACCACACTTAGCACATGCAGAAGGCTTACTACTTAGGTTGTTGTTGTGGGCTGATTGAAAAGGTATTCTCATGAACTCATAAAGAATTTAATACGAAAGGTGTTCTCACATAGTAATGGTCCTAGGGTCGAAAGGTTTTTCTCACCTAATGGAACCTAAGCCTAAAGAGCCTTCATACCTAGGTCATGGATGGCAATAGTTGCTCATGCATGGTCTAAAGAGGTATTTTAATGAATTAACATGGATCGGTTGTCAATGACATCTTTCCATTAAACTTGAGTCGAATAAGAGACTTAATAATTATCTTGTGGGATTTAGGCCTAGCACCGAGTGGTTGTTGAAATGAGATGGAGGTTCCCACCTAGTTGAGTTTGGGCTTCCAAAATGGGAACTCTCACCTAGTAGAGTCTGGATTTCCCAAAGTATGTCTCATGAGATGAAAGCCTTTACCTAGTGGAGTTTTGGGTTTTTAGTAGCAATCTCCATATCCCATAACTATATTTCCCGTAGGATTAACCAGTGGATCCGACTAAGCTAATAAATCGGTTCTACCTTAGGCAAGTGGACCAACCCTTGACGGTGTGGGTAACATCGGGAGGGATCATGTGATAGCTCATATGATCTCATGTCGGTTAAGGCTATTTCCCAACTACAACAAGAATAGTAATGAGCTAAGATTATGCTTAAAGAAGCATCTCCTAGAGTTCAAACCTAATGGACTAAGATTATGCTTAAGGAAGCATCTCTTAGAGTCCAACACAATTAAGGAACTAAGATGTGCTTGAAGAAGCAATATCTCCTAGGGTACAAACTTAATGAACTAAGACTATGCTTGTAGAAACATATGCTAGAGTTCAAAACAATGATGAGCTAAGATGTACTTAATGAAGTATCTCCAAGTGTTCAAAAGCATTAATGGACTTAGATATGCTTAAGGAAGTATCTCATAGAGTTCATATTAATAATGAACCTAGACATGCTTAAAGAAGTATTTCATAGGGTTTAACCTAATAATGAACTAAGATGTGCTTAAGGAAGTACCTCATAGTGTTCTAAGGTTTAAAGAGAGGGACTAGTTTCCAACTAAGAAGTACGAGTATGAGGACCTAAAGGTGGTACTTAGTATGAATGGTATTATGGGATGCCATTCATGAATTGCACAAGTATGACTTAATGTTATTCAAGAAAGTATTCTTCTATATGATGTATACTTTGGTAGATTGTTTCTATAGTTGCCTTCCGTGATATGATTGACTAAATGTGAGAGATTTCCTTGTTTATGAGAGTTAAGTTAAGAATGAGACCAATGAATGGTAAGTATGAATATGGTGACTTCAAGGTTATGCTTAGTGTGGATGGTATTATGGGATGTCATTCATGCATTGCAAAGTATGATTTGAGGTTACTTATGAGTGCTCTTATGATATGAAAGCCTAGGTCTTGATTATGCATATAGACTATGATTAAGATGACCAAAAAGGGATACTTAGCTTGGATGGTATTATGGAATGCTATTCATACATGGCACAAGTATACTTTGAGGTTACTTGAGAGTGGTCCTATTATGATATGAGTGACTAAGAGTTGAATAAGGCTTGTATGATGCTTATGTTGGAGACTTTACTTATGATTATGATATTGTCTCTTATGCTTATAATTGATGTTTCATGAAGTATTTCATATGATTATGTCTTATGTTGATTAACCCTTATGTTATGCTCTTATGATGTTATGCTAGCTAAAATATATAGTACATTTTGTACTAACGCATACTTTGTCTACGCTTTTATCAAATGTAGGGTTCAGAGATTTGAGTTCCAAACTTGAAGCTAGGTTTTAAGGAGTGAAGATTTGGTGAGTCCTCATAGCTTCGAGGACAAAACCCACTCCTTTATGTCTTTTATTTTCATGTTGAGACTATTGTATGGGCTATGTCCCAAGAGTTTTATTCTAAAGTTGTATTAGATGGTTTGAGACAAAAGTGTAGTAAAGACTTCCACTTGCTTTTTTGAAAAGACTTCGATTGTATGGATAAAGTTTTTAAATTTTCCGTACTTTTCTATTATCTTATGTTAGTATATGCTAAGGGCTTGTATGAGACCCCTTCGGTGTCAAGTACGCCATGTTACATCTAGGGTGTACCCCTGAGTCGTGATAGTACATAGATTGCATTCGCTGAATGCGTTTTATGCTTCATTTTCTCAGCTCTTTCTATTTAGGCATCTAAGAAGGGTTTTTTCAAGTTTTCAACGGCATTACCTTTTTTTTAAAGCACAAAAAAATAAAATTGTGGGTCGAGAAAAGAAAAATATGAGAGGGAATTAAAATAGTGGAAAATTGAACATTCACCGATAAAGTTGAATTTAAACTTAAACGAAAGGGGTAATAATGTAATTTCACCAATAAATAAAACCGAGACTGAAATTTGTACATAAATCGCATTTGTCGAATATGTTTTATGCCTTATATTCTCAGTTCTTTGTATTTAGGCATCAAAGAAGGATTTTTCAAGTTTTCAATGACATGACCTTTTTTGAAAACACAAAAAATAAAATTGTGGGTCGAGAAAAAAAATAGGGGATGGGATAAAATTGCGGAGAATCGAACATTCACCAATAAAGTCTAATTTAAACTTTAACGGAATGGGTAATAATGTAATTTCACCAATAAATAAGAAGAGACTGAAATTTGTACATAAATCGCATTCGCCGAATGCGTATTATGCCTTATATTCTCAGTTCTTTCTATTTAGGCATCTAAGAAGGGTTTCTCAAGTTTTCAACGGTATGACCTTTTTTTAAAACACAAAAAATAAAATTGTGGGTTGAGAAAAAAAATATGGGAGGGGATTAAAATTGTGGAGAATCAAACATTCACCGATAAAGTTGAATTTAAACTTAAACGGAAGGGATAGTAATGTAATTTCACCAATGAATAAGAAGAGACTGAAATTTGTACATAAATCGCATTCGACAAATGCATTTTATGCCTTATTTTTTCAGCTCTTTCTATTTAGGCATCTAAGAAGGGTTTTTCCAGTTTTCAACGGCATGACCTTTTTTAAAACACAAAAAATAAAATTGTGGGTCGAGAAAATAAAATTAGGGGAGGGGATTAAAATTATGGAGAATCAAACATTCAACGATAAAGGTGAATTTAAACATAAACAAAAGGGGTAATAATGTAATTTCACCAATAAATAAGAAGAGACTGAAATATTTAGGCATCTAAGAAGGGGTTTTCAAGTTTTCAACGACATGACCATTTTGTAAAACACAAAAAATAAAATTGTTGGTCGAGAAAAGAAAAATAGGGGAAGGGATTAAAATTGTATAAAATCAAACATTCACCGATAAAGTTGAATTAAACGGAAGGGGTAATAATGTAATTTCACCAATAAATAAGAAGAGACTGAAATTTGTACATAAATCGCATTCGCCGAATGCGCTTGATGACTTATTTTGTCGGCTCTTTTTGTTTAGGCATCTAAGAAGTGTTTTTCAAGTTTTAAACGGAATTA